TCGAAGGATTGGAAAGGGAATTAACCGCATGGGAGCAAGAATTTTTGGAGGAGCTTCGCGAACGAAGAGATTGGGAGGATCGTGAAAGACAACTCATGGAAGCCCAAGAAGCAATGGTGATCGATGCTAATGGCCATGAGGATGAAAGAGAGCTTAATTTCTTAATCCTTGAGGACAAGGAAAGTCTTGAAGAGGAGGGGAATGATACGGAAGTGGTCATCAACCCCAGTGAGTCAGACGAGGATGATGGCGATGGTCTCGATATTTGGCTGGAAAACATGTTTGAGGCGCCATCTAGTCCTATTTACCGGCCATCATGTGTACAAGATCGGCCAAAAGGTTGTGGCTCAAAGCTGAAAACAAAGGTAAGGAAACGGACGTACAAGAGACAACGCAAGGCAAGGGCCCGAAAAGCAAATCAATGTAGGTGCGAGCCTTGTGAAAAGAAAAGACAAGCTCAAAAGAAGGAGGCTCGAAGGCGTGGTTTGAGATGGGTGAAAGCTGGATGGTGGATACCGGCGGATGATTGTGTGAGATTAAAGGGTTGGGATCCATGGCCCGAGCCGACGGGAACGAGTGGTAACAAGGACGACAATGATCGGCTAATGGGCGAGTGGCGCGCATCGGCCCATGATGCGCGCGGTTGGACCGAACAGGCCACACACGGAGACGCGGCACGCGATCAGGCCACGGAGGTTGGCGGTACAGCGGACGATGCATGGTTGCGGGCCGAATGCGCGAAAGGCGAGCGCGAGGTCATTGATGGCACGCGCGAGACGACTGGAGCACATGGGCGTGCCGAAGGCAATGGTAGTGAGGGTATTGGCTGGGACGCGTGGGAGTTGGCCCGCTGCGGCGAAGCGCGCGACAAGCGCGCGAGTATGGGTGACGCGAGCGGAATCCGTGACCTAAAGGGAATAGGAGTGCCGGGTGACGATGCGTACGCGCGCAAGGAGCAGGGCAGCAGCGATGGGGAGCGCGCGATGGCACGCGAGTGCGCTACAGGCGCGAGTATCCTATGCGCGGTAGGATTAGGCGACTCACGAGAAGGGACGCACGCGCTGGGCGATGGCGGCACGGACGGGGATCGCATTAAGGCGTGCGCGTGCGGGACACATGAGGCGCGCGATGCCTCGCGCGCCGAGGATTAGGAGAGCCGAGGGTCGGCGTGCGCGACGCGTACAAAGACGCACGCGTGAAAGAGGGCCGAGAGATTTAATGTAGGGTTTTTAGTTAGGGAGCTTCTAGATTTGCT